ACCCCAGGACACAGAGAGCCCCGCCCCCTACAGCCAGTGCTCTGAATTCTGACTTCCAGCCTCCTAATTGTGAGAAGGGAGCTCTGGTGGCCTACTGCCTAAGGCATTTGACCGCTAACCAGAAGGCTGGCGGCTCAAACCCCCAGCCACTCCTCGGAAGGAAGGTTGGGCAATCTACTTCCATAGAGATACTGCCTCAGAAGCCCAAGGAGGGGTCGCTATGAGTCAGGTCTGACTCGACAGCAGTAAATTGTGAGAAAATAATCCTTAGTTCTTTAAAGGCCCCATTCGTATTTCTGTTACAGCAACAGTACAGAACTCAGACACCAGATTTGCCACCAGAAAACAAGATGCCTGTGAACTATGTCAGATAAACAAGCATTTTGTTTTTCAGCCTAAGTTCATTTGTCATTTATCTGACATTCAAATTTGTCCAGGCATCCTGGGTGTTCTCAGGCTACCCTAGCTGGGAGGAGCCTTCCACGGACCGCAAGGTGGGTCCAGAGGAGGATGTGGTACCGCATGTCCTGCGGCAGGCCAGGCTTTGCAGCACACATCTCCCCCTTGGAGACAAAGGCGGGTCGTACGATCCAGCAGGCCTAGCGTTGCCTAAAGTGTCTTTGGCAGACACATGCACGGAGCCTCTGGTGAGCACTAGCAGCAGATAGACAGCACAGACCCCTGGCATTCTGGAGTAAGGCCAGTCCCTCTGGCAGCAAAAACAATCCTACATGTGAGCAGCTCCTGGCTAGCCTGGAGGCCAGCTGGATGGCTAACCATGGCCACCAGGTGGCCAGGAGACCTGGGCAGGTGCATCGCAGTGTGCCAATGTGAGACCCAATGGACAAATAGGAAACTGGGATGCCCATGTCTGCAAGGCACAAAGCAACTAACTGTATGACCGGCAGGCCCGAGGTCCCACTTACCTGCCTCTTCTGTTTTGCTGTCTCTCCCTCAAGCCACACCTAGGGCTTCATGAGGTGTTTCCTACTGACTGTTGAGAAGGGCAGGCAAAGTGCAGACTTGGCTTATGAATGCATGTGTACGGTATGCTTGCATCACCTGGCAGGGGATGGCTTCTCCATTAGAGCCCCACACAGGGGTGGCCCTGGGAGTGAAGGGAAGTCCCCAGTGGACAGAACTCAATGTGGTTCATCTCGCCTGTGCCATGGCTCTACCACAGGCAGCACCCAGAAGACTGTCCACTTGCTCAGACCCAAAAACACCAAGATGGGAACTTGGAAGCTTGGTGCCAAGGAGGTCTGGAAAGAAGGCAGTGGGTGGACTCCTGGGGTGGCCACAGACTATGAGAACACTGGGTGCCACAGAAGCCCGACATCTGCCAGAGGGCATCACTGTACGCAAGATGGTCAAAACACAGGGGAATGGACTGCCGGGCACTGGCCACTTAACCAGCCACCCAGTGACTGTGCCGTGGGCCCTGGATAAAGCGGCCACGGCAGCAGGGATGGAGGCTATGCTTGGACTCATCAACACGGACTTCCCCCAACCACAACTGACCTGGCTGTCAGCCTGCTGCAAGCCAACCTGCCGATAGCAAAGGCCAAGGTGAACTATTATAGTTCACAGCAGGGCTCCATGGGAGAGTGGGGGCGAGGCAGCAGTCCGATGACACTGGAGCTTTCCATCCCCGAGAGGGTGGTGGGTACCTGTTGTGAATATGGACTTCGATCCCTGTCTGAGGTGCCTTTGCCAGCATGTTTTTGTACTCACAACTCCTCATTAGTGCTATGGCCCCACCCATCATCTCCCGCTCAGGAACCCAGTCACCACCCAAGATGTGCGGCACTGGGCTCATGCTGCAGAACCTGCCGGCTCATCGGTGTCAGGACGGACCTCTCATGCTCAGCTGGGGACCACCAGCTGAGGGGGCTGCTACCTCCAAGGCAAGGCAGACACACACATAAGCTGTTTTGTCAAAAGCCAGGACGCATGGGCCCAGAACCACTACATCCAATGGCCTATCTCCGGGATTTCTGCCCCATCCTCACAGCCTTGGACTCACTGGGTTTGACAGTCCTTGTATCTGAGAAAGGACCATGTCCACCAGGCAATATGGACCCTGCTCCCATTAAACTAGAAACTGAGATGCCCTCCCTGGCCACTGGGGGCTCCTCCACCCACAGAACCAACAGGTGCAGACAGGGCTACCTGACTGGCTGGGGTGAGACAAATCCCGATCACCATGGAGAAATAGGGCCACCACTCCACAATGGGACAGGGAGGGCAATGCCTGGACCCCAGAAAAGTCACCATGATCAGTGGGCAACTGGCCAGGAGAGACATGGAGGACCCAGACCTGTGGGTGACAGTCTAGGTACCTCAACAGGCACCAAGCCTTAGGCCCTGAGGCAGTGACATAGGGAAAGGAAGACAGGAAATGGATGGTGGCTTTAGATTCCAGGTGGAAGAATGATGTAGTTATTTTCCCATCCCACGATACGGCAGCTGGTAGGACCTGGTGGCGAAATTGTCAAAGATTTCATATTACTTGGGTCCACAATCAACACACATGGAAGCAGCAGTCAAGATATCAGATATCATATTGCACTGGGCTAATCTGCTGCAAATGACCTCTTTAAAGTACTGAAAAGCAAAGACGTCTCTTTGAAGACTAAGGTGTGCCTGACCCAAGCCGTGATGTTTTCAATCACCTCATACACGTGTGATAGCTGGACAACGAATAGGGAAGAATGAAGAAGCGTTGATGCCTTTGAGTTGTGGCACTGGCAAATACTGAAGGTACCATAGACTACCAGAAGAACGAACAAATCTGTCCCGGAGGAAGCGCAATCAAAATGCTCCTTGGAAGCAAGAATGGCCAGACCTTATCTGACCTGCTCTGATCATGGTGTTGTTAGATGCCGTCGAGTTGTCTCTGACTCATAATGACCCTGTGCCCAGCAGAACGAAACACTGCCCGGTCCTGCGCCAGCTCCATGATCCTTGCTATACTCAAGCCCATCGCCACAGCCACCGTGTCAGTCCATCTCTTTGGGGGCCTTCCCCTCTTTCATCAACCTTCCACCTTACCAAGCATGACATCCTTCTCCAGGGAATGGTCCCTTCTGACAACATGACCAAAGTAGGTGAGACAAAGTCTGACCATTCTCGCTTCCAAGGAGCATTCTGGCTGCACCTCCTCCAGGACAGATGTTAGTTTTTTTAGCAGTCCATGGTACTCTCAGCATTCTTCATCAATACCACAGCTCAAAAGCATCAACTCTTCTTGGGTCTTCCTTATTCATTGTCTAGTTCTCACATGCACATGAAGTGACTGAAAATACAATGGGTTGTGCCAGGCGCACCATAGTCTTCAAGGAGACATCTTTGCTCTTCAGCACTTGAAAGAGGTCCTTTGCAGCCAATGTGCCCAGTGCTATACGTCATCTGATGTCCTGACTGCTGCTTCCACTGGCACTGATTATAGAACCAAGCAATATGAAGTCTTTGACAACTTCAATCTATTCTCCATTCATCGTGGTGCTGCTTATAGGTCCAGCTGTGAGGATTTTTGTTTTCTTTATATTGAGGTGTAATCCATACTGCAGACTGTATTCTTCAATCTTCAGCAGTAAGAGTTTTAAGTCATCCTCACTTTCAGCAAGCAAAGTTGTGTCGTCAACGTATCGCAGGTTGCCAATGCTTCCTCCAATTCTGATGCCATGCTCTTTTTCATATAGTCCAGCTTCTTGGATTATTTGCTCGGCATAGAGATTAAGCACAGTGAAAGGATACAACCCTAACACGCCATTTTCTTGATTGTAAACCATGCAGTGTCCCCTTGTTCTGTTTGAACAACAGCCTCCTGGTCTATGTACAGGTTGATCATGTTGTCAGAAGGGACCATTCCTTGGAGAAGGATATGATGCTTGGTAAAGTGGAGGGTCAGCGAAAAAGGGGAAGGCCCTCAATAAGATGGACTGACACAGTGGCTGCAATGAGGACTCAGGTATAGCAGGGATAGTAGGGCCGGCACGAGACCAGGCAGGGTGTTGTTCTGTTGTACATAAAGTCACTGAGTCGGAGCTGACTTGATGGCATCTAACGACAACAACAGGACCTGGTGGGCTTATACTGAGAAGCACATGGTACCACCAGTGCCGTTTCCTGCCGGCCCTTCCAGATGCGTGCTCCCATCCCTCCCGCTCTCAACCACCCGAGGGCCACCTCCAGGGAAATACACAGGTCCTGTGATGCCTCCATCTTCCTGATGGGTGGGTGTGGCCTGGCTGGGAGAGAACACTGGAGGGGGTAGGACGCAAGGTGGTGGTCTCAATTCCCCGACTCCTGTCCAGCAGGGCCCCACAGGAAGACCACCACATCCCTGGGCCAAAGGTCTGCACTCCTTGAAAGGTGGCCTCTCCCACCCCGCCTCTCCTGACCTGGGCAGGGGAAGCCCCCTGAGCTTCTGCACCCTCTCGTGGGGCTTGCCTGTCCCTGCCCTCGTCTCTGTAGAGCCCCTTCATTAAGTTCTCTCCAACTGCCTTCATCTGAGCCCACATCCATTTCCTCCAGGCCTCAGACAGCCTGGGATGATCCAGGGATGATGAGAGACCACCTGGACACTGCTGACCTTTCCTGTCATTACCCAGTCTGACGACGCCGTTCCCACCCTTCTGCTGTGGCGGAATGCAGTTGGAGATCCAAGTGGGGCCTGTCTCACTCAGAGGCGACCGGATGTCCAGCCTGGCTGGCCAGGTACCCCAGGTAGGCAGGCAGAGATGGGATCCCAGCCCCTTGTGACACCAGGATTCACCACAGGGGCTGCACGGTCACAGGAAACTGTGTGTTCATCCATAAAGTCTGACCTCAAGACCATGTGTGGAAAAGGCACTTTACGTGGTGGAAGCAAAATGAGACAAACAGGGCTGGTGACCAACTGACCAGCTGATGGCTGCCCAGCCCATCTTGAGTCTTGGTCAGCCCCAGGTCAGCTGTCAGTACAGGTTCGTAAGGTCACCTCGTGGTGGCAGCCCTCATGGGACAGGGACCTCGAGGTACTGCACAGGATATGAGAAGGGCCCAGGCCGGGCCCAGTAGTCCACAGCTCGAACCCGATAGGAGCCCGAAACGACAGCTGTGTCTGGGGAAACAAAAGTACACACGTATTCTTGAGTGTGTGCCCACCTGCACCCACCTGTCTCCATCAGGCTTTGCCAGTCCCTGGCACCCAGTGCTTCCCTGAGGCCCAGGAAAAGGGCAGCCTTGGCCAGTGTGTGGGTGGTAGGCTCACCTGGGCTGAACACAAAGAGGTTAAAGGTTGATGGCTTCCTACTGACCGGGACGTACACCTCACCCCCTTGGGAGAACTGGATCTCATACGTCCACAGGCACCTGCAGGTCAGAGTCAAGACTAAGACTAGAGTCAAGGCTGAAGTCAGGGTTGGGGATCCCTACCAAAGTCAGGGTAGGTTCTCGAAAGCTTGGGGTGCGTAGGATCCAGAACACTGCTGCCTCCACCTCCCTTCCTAGCTCCTCCTATGCCCATGGGCACTCTCAGCACTGGTGACAGGCCAGACTGGGGGAGGGGAAGGGACCAGAGCCTTCAAATGTCCACCGAAAGTACCCCATCCCGTGTTAGAACATGATGCCGTGAGCTGATGTGCACTGGTGTATGCACGCTGAGGGGCGTCATGGGGGCAGGGAGGGTACACGAGGGGGAGGGGTGAATGCTGGAGAGGGAGGGAGGGGGATGCACACGGGGCACGCAGGATGCACGCAGGGGCCGGCAGGGGCCGAGGCAATGCAGGAACAGGTGCTGCAAGCGTGCGGGGACTCTACTCACGCACTTGGAAACCAAACGCTCATCCGACCAGACCAGAAGCAGCTGCCCGCGCGTCAGGGGCATCACCCGAAGCCTGGTCACCTGGGGAGGAGGAGGTCATGAGCAAGTAAGGCCTGGCAGGGGGCGGGCTGAGGGCAGTTGTGCTACTTGCCTGGCCTGGCGGCATCTCCGGCCGCGCGCACACGTGCAGCAGCAGCAGGGACGGAAGAGGCAGCTTTGGGCGCAACGTCAGGCGGCCGCTGGCAGGGAAAGGGCGCGGGACGGCGGCTACAGGGTCCTGGCGTGGCGGCGGGTCTTTAGGGACTTGCGGCTGGGACTGGCGTCCCTTTCAGACCTCACGGCCGACCCTACCTCGCCCCGGGCAGACCCCGCCCCCGCACCTCGGCCGCGCGCATGCGCCGGAACTGCTCCGCGGAGGGAAAGACGGGCCGGCCCAGGCGCTCCCACTCGCCGTGGGGGCTGCACAGCCGGTTGTCCACGTAGAGCGTCACGTAGACTAGCCCTGCGGTGCAGGATGCTGGGGCAGCCTCTTCGGGCCCGCCCCTCCGCCCCAGGCCACACCCCTCCGCCCGCAGCCCCGCCCCCGCGTCGCGTGGTCACGCCCCCTCGTGGCCACAGTCTGAGCCTCAGCCAGACTCCGCGCGCGCGCGCGCGCGCGCGCGCGCGCGCGGGCTCACCTGGGGCTGGGGGCACCCCGTGCAGGTGCAGGGTCACGGTGGCGCTGCGGTTGGTGTGGGCGCGAGTGTCGTCGCTCGCGTAGACCAGCACCGAGGCGCGCCAGGCGTCAGCGGGGCCCGAGGGGCTGTGGGCGCTGGCCAGGACGCCAACCGTGTGGTTGCTGTCCAGCACGGCCCCAGCCTGCGACACCTCCGCCCAGAGCTGCTCGCCGTCTGCGGGGGACGCAGGGAGGGGTCACCGCGCGGGACTCGCTGCCTCTCCGGGCCTGGCTTCCCACTGTTTGCAGCCCGTCCTCTGCGTAAAAGAGTCCCCGGCCACACCACCGCTTCAGCAAGCCGGAGGGCTTGGTAGGGCAAGAAACTGGCGCGGCTGGAAGCGCATCCCCCCAAGGCCAGTTCCGGCTTCCCTCTCACCTCAGCGCCTTCACATACGCTACCCTTCTGTCTGAATGACTTCCCCTCCTACCCACCCCTGTCCACGGGTCCTCACCCCCACCCCAGGGGCTGCATCGTCCGTTTCCAGGCTGGCCCAGAGCGGTGCATGCAGTGCGGGAGCACAGGGCACGGCTTGCCAGCAGCCCCAGGAGGTGAGCCTGAACAGGACAGGATGGGGGCAGAAGACGGGGCTCACCAAGCAGGGCCAGCAGCCCCATGGCCGTGAGCACCGGTTTGCGCAGCAGCTGCACGTGGGGCGGGCGCGTATTGTTGACCTGGAAGCGGGCTGTGAGCGTGCGCTGCGTGAAGGGGTACGGGTGGTAGCTCAGGAAGGCGTTGTCGTTGCTCAGGAGCGCGTAGCGGATGGAGGAGCTGGTGTTGGCCACCAGCAGGTTCTGGTGCTGCGCGATGACCTGTGGGGGTCAGGGGCGGCTGGTACCACATGCCCACACCAAAGCTCCGGGGGGCAATGCCCCTCCTGGGAGGAGCCCTCCAGAGCCCCACAACTCGTAACCACTCAGGCGCTGGAGAAGCGCCAGGGCGGGGCCGAGCCCACCTTCACGACCATGGCCGCGTAAGTCACGTCAGCCCTCCATGGCTGCGGCAGGGACCAGCCCACGAGCGGATCGGCCTCGTCGTTGTAGACTGGGGTGTCCGTGAACTTGGGGAAAAGCCGCTGGATCTGCTGCACGGCCTCCTGTTCCTGCTCCAGGATGTAGATGGAGCTCCCTGCGCCCTGCGGGCAGGGGCCTCGCCTCAGCACCTCCAGCTCAACTCACCTGACCTGGCTTAGGGCTGAGCAGAGTCCTGGGGGCAGAAGGGAGGATCGCACCTTCTTGTGCAGCGCGATGTAGTCCAGGCGCACGCCCATCTCCCCGGTGAAGAAGTTAGTTCCGTTGCGACAGTGTTCCAGGAGACTCCAGCACAGGGGGGATCGGGGCGGGGGGTGGAAGGAGTCACCAGGACCCCCCAGCCGCAGAGCTGGGCTGGCCTCTCGCAGACCCTCGGAGCAGGCGTCGTAGTAGTTCAGGAATCCTGGTAAGGTGGCACCACCTTGTCCACCACTGTGCCCGAGGGAGCCACGTGTGGCCTGGGCTCAGCTCCCTCCCCGAGGGTGACCCTGCTGTCCCCATCCCCAGCTTGGTGTCCGGGCTATCCTCTCTAGCCCTCCCCCAGCCCAGTGGGATCCCAAGAAACTGCCCACCTTGTGTGGTCATGGATACGTTGTCAAAGTCGTGGTGGTCTGGCTCGTTCCACGTTTCAAAGTTCCACTTGGAAACGTGCTCCAGTCCGTATCTCCCTGTGAAGTGCCCCCACGCCTCAGCTTTCACTCATCCGCCCCTCGCAGACCTACGCAGGGCGGCCCAGGCTCAGCCTAGGCCCTACCCCTGGGATGACCAAGTGCTGTGCATATAGGGGAGTTCTCAGGGAGGGGCTCCCATGGGCGGACATCCAGACTTGACGGCATGTCTGATTCAAGATGCGCCCTGCCCCTCAGGAGGGCCTGGTTCAGCGGGTCCATGACACAGAAGACCAACAGGATGGCTACATGAAGGGGGAGGAGAGTAAGGATGCAGCCATGGTGAGGACCCCCACGCAGGCTCACCGATGTATCTCTTGGCCAGGAGAGAAACCAGGTTCTTCCACTCGAACACCTGCTGCTTGTCCTCAAAGTCAGTGAAACGTCCCGAGGGGCTGCCCATCAGCTCGAAACCTGGAACACAGTCATGGGTGTCCGCCCCCCACCCCACCCACACAACACCCACGTCCCGCACTCCCCCATTCCTGGGCTGCTAACACACCAGCATTGTGGCCGGTCCTGACCAGGCAGCCAGTGAGTTGAGGGAGTGGGGGACAGGAGTGGGTGTGGGCTCATGGGGACATGGTAGGGTTGGGCTGGAGGTCAAGGCCCTGGCTGCTTACCTGGAAGAAGCTGGTTCTCCCTGAGAAGGTCCAGGTACCCGTCCAGGTTGGTAAAGTTGTAGCTCACGCCCCACCCAGCCAGCTCCCTGTGGAGGCACACTCAGGGTGAGCAGGGGTGGGGGGCTTGCGGTGGGAGGATGGCTTCTCACTTTCCCCGGGCTGGAATGAGGGCCATATCCAAGCAGGTAAGGAGCACCTCTGCAAACAGCAATGCCTGACAACCTGTCATTACTCATGGTCTAGCGTGCAGTGTTGCGTCTGTGCATGGAATCACCCCCAAGCCTTCAGGACGGGGGAGGCCTGGGGCCTCAGGAGTGGGTCAGGAAGGCAGGTTGCTGAGGGGAAGATACAACAGAATGGGGTGGGGGAGGACAGGGCATCCTAGGGCCCTGATCTGGAGTGGAGGCTGTAGGACGAGTGTCAAGCAGGACCCAATGGACAATGCCCACTGCTTTTACCTGCCACCTGGAGGCTAGGGCCCCAGGTTTGACCCAACAGTACCCCCACCCGCTCTGCAATGTGGATGGGCAGGAAAGGGAGGAGAGAGGGACTCTGTACCCTGCACTTATCTGGCACAGGGACTGGCCCCAGCAGAGAGCAGGAGGTCCTCTCTTGCTGGTTTGGTCCCAGTTCTCTTGGGCCTCACTTTCCCGAGAGGGGACAAATGCCATCAGACAACCAAGTGAATCTATGAGAATGTGTTAGACAAGCCTCAAAGGAGATGTGATGGGGAGCAAAGGGGGGCAGAGGATCAAGGAGGAGGGTCTCTCCACGGAGGTGACATCTGGGACCTGCTGAATGATGGGACAAGCCAGCCATGAGGTGTCTGCAGGGAAAAGATGGGACAGCATGTGCAAAGGCCCTGAGGTAGGAGTGAGCTTGCAGTAATCAAGCCCCAGAAAGGCAGCCAGTGGGCCTGGGGCACAGTAAGGTTATCAGTTCTTGGAGATGAGGTCACATGGGACCGTGTGGCCATAATGAGGGCAGGACCTTGACTGCCCAAAACAAGGTTTGACCAGAGCAGCAGCATGTCATTTGGAAAAGATCCCCCTGACATCAGAGTGGACCAAGAGCAGTCATCGCAGCACCACTAGAGGCCTGGGGTGGTCACCCCAGGAGAGGGGGGTGGTGGCCATGGAAGCGGTGGGAAGTAAGAGCCAATGGGTTTACGAAGTAGAGGGCATGTGAGCTGGAAAAGAGTCCAGCACCACCCCGTGGATGTGGGTGTGGACAGCTGGGTGGCGGGCGTGCAGATGGTGGAGCCAAGTGAGGAGATGCTTGGGGCAAGATGGCGACTGGGCTTTGGCCACGTGGAGTTGGACATCCCAGTATGGAAGCTGCACTGGTGGCTAAAAGAATGGTCCTCGTCCTTGGGGACTGGGACTTAAGACTATGTTTCATGTCCCAAGGCATGGGGGGTAGAGGAGAGAAGGGGACCAAGAGCTGAGTTTGGGGTGAGGGTGGAGGCTCAGTGGGGATCACAGCTGTATCAGTAGGAATCTCGGGGTATTCCCCCTGAGGACACACCCAGACCTCCACATACGAAATGGGGAGGGGAGGTGGAGTGGAGCCCTCGGGAAGGCTGGATCTGAGGGAAAGAGGAAGGCTGAAAACATCCCCACTGAGCCTACGGGAGGCACGGGCACCTGCCGCCAGGTGGGGCAGGTGGGCGGCTGGGTTCCTCGGCTGCAGCGATGGAATGTGGCCATCCACAGCTCTGGGTCTGCCCCACCCCACGCCACAACCCCACCAGCCCAGTGGCCAAGGACAGGTCTCCACGACTCAACACCTCCCTTGGGTCTGGTCACGCCCCACACTGCTGATCCTGGGCCCAGCACCCAGTACTGCCCTGCAGGCCCAGGTGCCAGTTCCTCCTGGTTCTGCGCTCACTGTCCCTCTGCCCCGGGGCTGCTCTTCCCCACTCCGGGTCAGCTGGTGCCACCCCCTAGGCAGCAGGACCTCATACTTTCTCCAGCGCCTGCCGCCACCTCCCCAGGCCACGCTCTCTCCCTCGCCCATCCAAAGGTCACAACCGGTAGCAGAGAAACCAAACAAGCATTTAGATAAACATTAAACGCACAGCCGAAGAGTTCCAAAGTCCCACGGCCAAAAGCAGCTTTCTCCAGGGCTCTGAAGTGATAACCCCGGCGTGTGCCGACACGGGTGTCTCAGGAGTCACCACCGGAGGGCACCTGAACGCCAGAGGCGTCCTCAGCCTGCCACCCCGGGGCGGACTGGAGTGTCTCCCGGCCCAGTCAAGGAGGGCATCCAGGGATGGCCCCCGGGGCCAAGAGACCCACCCCAGGGCGCAGTCCTTGGGCCTCCTGCCCTGCACCGCGGCCCCCGCCGACCCAGATTTGGGGGGATCTGGAGACCCGACCCAGAGAGGGGTGGAGAAAGGGGCTGAGGCGGTGAGCGGTTCCGCCTGGGCCAGGAAAGCTCAGGGCTCCCCGACTCCGCCGAGCGCGCGCCCCCAGGACGAGGGCGCCTCCGGTCCTTGGCCGGCACGTGGGCCGGGGCGGCGCCGGCCGCACAACGGCCTCATTCACCCAGGCCCCGCCCGGCTCCCCGCGCCCCAGTGGGGCGCGTGCGCCGCCAGAACCGAGCCCACCGCCGCCAGGCGCCGGGCCGGGTGAGTGGCCGGCGGGCGGGACGGGGCGTGCGTGCACGGCGGTGGTGATGGGGAGGCAGATGGGGGCCGTGCGTGCGGGGCGGCGAGGGGGAAGCCGGTGCCGCGCGGGGGGCCAGGGCCGCGCGCGCTGGTGGTGGGAGTGCACCGGGTGAGGCCCAGGGTTGCACCGAGCTCGCATGTGCTGGGGGAGGGGCTGGGCTCTGTGTGTGGCGGCGAGGGGCGGGGTCTGACAGGCCATGCGAGGGTGCACGGGGCTGGGAGAACCTGCAGCCAGCGTCCGGACGATGGTGATGGATGTCAGCCTGGACCCTCGGTCCAGTCCCACCCGCTCCTGGGCTTCTCAGGACCTCTGCCCCCTCATCTGGAAACCCGGGTTACACCTGTGTGGCGGTGGGTCATTCAAGGGAAACAGGTCTTCCCTTCCAAGCCAAAATGGGCACACCGGTGGGGCTCTTCACTCCGGTGGGGAAAATGTTTCCTTTCTAAATAAATGCACTCAGATGTAAAGCTGCCATGTAAGAAAAACATTAGGGAAAGAGCTGTGCAGGGTGCGACAGGAGGCTGTGAGGGTGGTCCCAGCCGGTGGGCAGGCACCATGGACTCCACTGCCCTCTTCCAGTCAGCCCAACTGGGCAGGGGAGCAAGTGAAGTGGGGGGAAGGGCTGCACCCAGAGAATGGGTTTCACCTGAAATATCCCCACCTGCCTAAAGTCTCAACCCCAGACCCTCCGGAACCCTCCAAGGCCTCCCTGTGGGCCTGGGGGTCCTGCTTCCTGGGGAGAAGGCACCTCGTGGTGACATGCCCCAGCACTTCGATGCCCCAGCCCCTCACACCACACGGTGCAGTTTACCTCTATGTCTCCTCACCACACAGCTGGGGGACCTAGCCAGCCCTCCTCCCACATGCAGCCCCAGCCCTGGGGAGGGGACTGAGGTTTGGCCCACTCCTCCCACTGCCCCTCTACCGGTAGCTGGGTCAGGAGATAAGCACTTATGGCCCTTGGTTGCTTCTCTAGAACGTGCAGCCCTTCCTATCAAATTGGCCCTTATCTACCCCAGGGAGGGGCTGAGGCTCTGAACTGGGTGACTCACCCACCCCACCCACTAACAAACGGCTTCCCAAACCACAGCTCCCAACCCTGCAACCGATGCTCAAACAGCTCCACCCACCAGGGCCCAACTAAGGGGCAGGAGGGCAGGAGGCTCCCAGGCCCTGTCCTGAGGGGGGGCGGGTAGAGGCAGGGCAGGGCGAGATCCCTGGGGCTGAGGGGGTTCAGGGCCAGGATAAGAGCTGGCCCCTGTCCTGGAAGAATGGAGCCCCAGGGGGTACCGGCTGGCTCCTAGGATAGGCCGCCAGGATCTTAATTGTCTTTAAAGACTTACCAGCCTCCTGAAGACACAGGACCATCAGGAGCTTGTGGCCTACGATCCCCAGGAGGGAGTCAGGCTGTCCAAGGCGCCCAGGGCCCCCAGGGCCCCCAGGGTCAGCAGGCCCAGGCCAGCTGGGGCTGTCCCGCCTCTCAGCCTCCCGCAGGCAGCCACAGTCCAAAGCTTTTATGCGCTATCCCACTGCCACCCCCACCCCCACCCCCGCAAGCACCCAGGGATGCAGGTTTTATCTGAATTTCTTCATCTTGAAGGCGAGTGATCCAAGTCTAAAATAGTATCTTAAAAGAGCAGCTCACCTTGAATACTCAACCAGTAGCTGTCAACTTGACTCCCACTCAGGCCCTGCCATGTGAGTCACAGAACCCCGTAGGGTTCCCAGCGGCTGTGTTTTTCAGAAATAGATTGCCAGACCTTTCTTCCAAGGCTCCTCTGAATGGACTCAACCCTCCAGCCTCTCAGTTAGCGGCCAAGCATGTTAACTCTTTGCACACCCTTAAACCAAAAAAACTAAACCCACTGCCATCAGTCAGCTCCGACTCACAGTGCCCCTGGAGGGTTTCCAAGGCTGGAAACGGAATGCCGCATCTTTCTCCCACAGAGCGGCCGGTGAGTTCCGACCACAGACCATCTGGTTAGCAGCTCACTGCTTTAACCCATAGTGTTGCACTTACCACGTGCCAGGCACTACTATCCTGAGCCTCTTGGGGCACCAGGTTAGTTCATTTAAAGCGGTCGTTCATCTTCACGTTAGTCTCACGGGACAGGTACCATCAGCCCCCTGTACTGTAGAGAGGGGCAGTGCCTGGTGCTGCCCAGACACGGTGAGTCAGTGCTGGGGCCGGGCTGGAAGCTAGGTGCTCAGTCAGGCTCCAGGGGACAGATCTCTGCCGGCCCTGGTCCCCACCCTAGCAGGAAGGGCACACCTAACTGGTAAGGTCATCTGATGCCTGACAACCCCCCAGCTTGGGAGAGGGTGCTAGCCGGACCCTGGGCATGTGCGTATACACACACACACACACATGCTAGTGTGGAATTAAGAATTTAAATACAAAATTAAAGATGTAAAATTAGAAAGTAAAATTAAAATGTAACATTTTACTATAGCAATAAGAGGCCATTATTAAGACCAGTAAAAGGGCCTCAGTTCCAGGAACTGAGAAACATATAGTTTTAGTAAACAATTTCCAGAACTGTAGATAACTAAGCCCTGAACCTAGTTCCCAGAATTAGAAGAGGGAGACTGGATGTAAACAATTTTCAGAAAATGACATCAGCCATCCGCACTCCCTCCAAAAAGTTAAAGTTTGAACCAACCAATCACTCGTACCCTTCATTTCCCTCCAGAAGGATTATGTTTGAAATAACAAATCATTTGTGTTTTACTCGCGCCAAAGTTTGAAATTAACCTATTGCCTGAATTCCCTCTACCCACTCCCCTTCCCCAACCAACCAATTGTAATCCCCTCCACCCACACCTCCTCCCTACCCCTTCCAAATGTTCCTTTAAATAGAGTGTGTGTTTGATGCTCGGGGCTCCACTCCTCTGCCCCTGCGTGGGATATGAGTCGAGCCCCGGCGCGCTGGAACCTTGAATAAATGCCTCCTGCTTCTGCATCAAAAGACGTCTTTCGTGAGTGATTTTGGGTGGCGTTCCTCTTTGGGTTGGGAAGGCCCTGGTGAAGGGGAACCCAACACTAGCAGCCCTTCACACAGCTCAGAGGCCCAGGACCGGGCCTGGCTCCATGATGGGCCCTGTGCTCCAGCGTGGACTAGTACAGGGGAGATGCTGGCGGACTGCCAGTCCCTCGGTCCCACCTGGCCACCCTCCTGGGTCCAGGGGAGGCCAGTCCACTTGACCCTGGACCTAAAGGGTGCACACGCTGGCTGTCTTCTGCCTGGGACTGGCCTGGCTGGGCCACCTTCTGCCTAATCCCCACCGAGAGGCAGGGACACCCACGCTTCAGTTTGGGCTGCTCACTGCCCACTCGCCTGTCCCAGCCTGAAGGGCCACAGCACCCGCAGCCCGTGGCCAGGAGGCCCAGGAGCTTATCAGGGGCTCACACCATTGTAATTACCGCTGATTCTCTGATTACAGTACAACTTACTGGATTAACGCTCAGGTAGCACTTGTCTGGGTAAACGTGACTCAGCGATCTTTGGAGTAAATAATTTAACGAGCCCAGGGCAGCAGCCAGTCCCAACTGCCGAGCGCCACTGCCCGGCAGCCCTGCTCACCGCCAGAAGCCGGAGTGTCTCGGGGGCCCAGCTAGCAGGCATAGCCCGAGCAGATACCAGCCTTGGGTGCACAGACCCGGACCCCCACTGTCCTGCCACCCACACAGCCCTCACGCTGCTCCCTCAGGTAAGAACCATCTGGGGTCCCTCTCCCCGGGAGAGACCAGCTCATCGGGCAGAAGACGCAGAGCACAGGGCTTCGGCGAAGACGCTGTGAACAGAAAACGCTCCCAACTCCAGGGCTTCTTAGGGGCCAAAAGTCTGACTGGGGAAGGAGTTTGGGGACCCTCAGGTTCAAGGCAGGGGAGAGTCAGCACAGTCTTGGTTCCACAAAGCCAGACTTCCAGGGGCTCAAGGTAGAGCTTCAAGGTGGCCAGGGAGCCCCAAGTGGGTGAGATCTTTGGGGCAGTATCGTGGAGAACGGGAAAATGCCACTCATAAAGTTCCCTCCAGGGCCAGGACCCCACTGCTCTAGACCAGCCCTGCCCCGCCGGGCCGGGGACCACCGTCCTCCATGCGGGGAAGCTGGCTGTGCCTTCCCGTGTGGGCCAGTGCACAAACACTGCAAGCAACGCTGGTATCTGGGCGTCCTGGGCCCACAGGAGGCAGAGTTGTGCTTCTTGTCACCCGAGAGCAGCTTTTCAAAGTTGAAGTTCTCGGTTGCTCAGTGCAAAGCCAGCCGTCTGTGTAGTGACCATTCTGATTGGGGCCTGTGCGTGCCTTCTCCATGCCACCACCCTGCTCTGCTCTCCAGGAGCTCAGGAGACTTCCCCTGCCGTGGATGGCCCACGGGGGGACAGTGGGCAGCCTGATGCATGCAATCAACAAGTGCTTTATGCTGTCTGGGGCGAGTTCCTCAACATTACCAACCTTCGAGACCCACGAGTGCGTCCCTGGAGGGAAGCGGACCTGGCAGGAGGGGGAGCTGCCCCGCACCTCCTCTCCCCTCCAAGCTGGCCCAGGCCGGGTTCATGCCTCCTGAGGCATGTGTGAGGAATGCTGCATAAGGACCAGGGGGGCAGCATGGGCCTGGTGTCCAAGGCATGGATTTGGGGTCAGGCAGGCCCTCTTCTCCGGCCCCTTACCTAGAGCCATGGCCGGCAGTGGCAGGAGGGACGGAGGGAGCCATGCATGGGGTGGGAGCCACAGGATGGGGGAGGAGGTCTCTGGATGGGCATCAGGTGGACAGCAGGGGTCCTCACTGAGCTGGGAAGCTGAATGGGGGAGCGGCAGGGAGCTCAGCCCTGGTCACGTGTGTGCTTGTTCTCTGGGATGCTCTCTGACCCTAAGTCCTGTATGTGTGGATGGTAACAGCCTGGTACATTCCCTCACTTATAAAAACCATGACTGCTGCCACCAAGTCAATTCTGACTCACTGCGACCCTTTAGAACAGACTGAAACTCACCATAGGGTTTCCAGGGCTGTAATCCCTATGGACCATTCCCTGGAGAAGGATACCATGCTTGGTCAAGTGGAAGTTAAGTCCAGAGGGAAACCGTCAAACGAGATGGACTGACACGGTGGCTGCAATGATGGACTCAACCATAACAAGGACTCCGAGGACGGCGCTGGGCCGGGCAGTGTTTCGTTCTGTTGTACACGGACGGGGTCGCTATGAGTCAGCGCCGACTCAACATCTAACAACAACAATCTTTATGGAAGCAGACTGCCTCATCTTCAACTCACAGAGTGGCTGGTGGGTTCAAACCACCAACCTTTCGGTCACCAGCCAAGCACTTAACCACTGCACCACGAGGGTTCCTTCCCTCTCATGGGAGGTGGCACTTCAAGCATCCTGACTGGGCGGGCGTTCGAGCCTGGGCAGAGTGTCTCCTGGGACCACCCTTTAGCTGTAGTCCGAGGCATGTGGCTTTTTCTTGTCACACTCACATGTCACCCCAAGGACTGAGAGTCCTGGACGGAGCCAGATGTCATCCATGCTGGGCACCGGGTAGAGGGACGTCCCCTGTGCTGGCACTGAGTGGGTGGGATGTAGTCTGCACTGGGGGAATGTCCTCTATACTGGGCACTGGGTGGACTGGCCATAGTCCATGCTAGGCAACAAGCAGGTGGGATATTGTCCACACTGGGCACCAGATTGGTGGGATGTCATCTGCTTTGGGTGCCAGGTAGGTGAGATGTTGTCTGTGCTAGGTGCTGGGCACTTAGTGGACAGGGCTTTGTCCACACCGGGCAGCAGGTGGATGGGTGCCATCCATGCTAGGCACCAGGTGGGTGGGATATTATCTGTGCTGGGTGACGGGACAGGTGAGATGCTGTCTGTGCTGGGTGTGGGTCGCTGGGGTGCCATCTGGGGCCCCCACGTCAAGATGAGAGGGGGCCCAGCATCTAGTCCCCACACCCAGTGTTCTCAGTCCCTGGTGGTAGGGTGACCTCTGCCCGGGGTCCCACGGGCAATAGTGGCCCCACCCTGGGGCCTTCTCATCAGCACTTGGCTTCTCTGACACGGGTCCATGCCTCCTCTACCCACCGTGATGCCCGCTTCTCCACTGCAGGTTGGCCCTGCGGGGCCTGGGTCCACAGGATGGAGGCATCCCCTGAGTGCACACAGGACGGGGGGCTGGTGCTGGTCCGCCGACAGCCCCCAGCCCCCCGGAGCCTGTGCGAGATGCTCAAGGGCCAGCTGAGGCAGAGCTGCGCGTGCCACAGGAGGCAGGCCTGGGTGCTGCTGAAGGACCTGGTACCCGTCATACGCTGGCTGCCCCAGTACCGCCCGCAGGAGGACCTGGCAGGCGACGTCATGTCCGGGCTGGTCATTGGCATCATCCTGGTGCCGCAGGCCATTGCCTACTCGCTGCTGGCCGGGCTCCAGCCCCTCTACAGCCTCTACACGTCCTTCTTTGCCAACCTCATCTACTTCCTCCTGGGTACCTCCCGCCACGTGTCTGTGGGCATCTTCAGCCTGCTGTGTCTCATGGTGGGCCAGGTAGTGGACCGCGAGCTCCAGCTGGCCGGCTTCGACCCTGCCCAGGATGGCCTGCGGCCAGGGGCCAATGGCAGTGCCCTCAACACCTCAGCCTCCGTGCTTGGGCTGCAGGACTGTGGACGAGACTGCTACGCAATCCGTGTGGCTACCGCCCTCACGTTGGTGGCTGGGCTCTACCAGGTGAGGATCTGGCTGGGTGGGGGGCGGGGCAAGGTGTACCCCAGGGGGCACTCATGGCCCACCCAGCAAGGCAGAGCCCGGGAGGAAGCACCGGATCTGGAGCAGAGGCGGGTCAGCCCAGCCTTATGGTTGGGCTGTGAAGGAAGGTGGCATTTAAGCAGGCAACGGGAGACGAACAAGGGTTCAGGCACAGAGGTGAGACAAGCAGGGCAGGGATGCCTACAGTCAGGGATCGGATGCCCTGAGGATGCTGCCGGGCTGGGGTGCAGAGAGCCCAATCCTGCCTGGCACAGCCTGGGTAGAGTGTGGCCCCCAGCTCCAGACGTGACCAACTGCTGCCCACCCGGCCTTGCCGAACTTCCTGTAACCCCCCACACCAGGCTCCTCATGTGCCCTAGACCTCCAGACTCCAAAATCCTCTCCCACCTCGCCCCTCCGACCCCAGCTCCCAGGAAAGATGAGCAAGAGCCTACCCCAGGGAGGGACACTGGGCACCAGGGAATTAGAGGGCTGCCACCTAATCCCCAAGGAGCTCTGGTGGCACCGTGGTTCAGCAATCAGCTGCTAAGTGAAAGGTCGATGGTTCAAACCCATCAGCCGTTCCAGGAGAGAAAGACACAGCAGTCGGCTTCCATAAAGATTTACAACCTAGGAAACCCTGTGGGACAGTTCTACTCTGTCCTCTAGGGGCTCCATGAGTCGGAATCAACTCCATTGCAACCAGGGAACTACTTCCCCGAGCCCACTGGGCCCATTCCTGAAACAAAGGCAGTTCCCGTGCGTGGAGAGGGTACTCCCGTGGCTGACCACGTCTGTGTTCTACACACGTGTGCCCCCAAGTTGCCACACGAAGCACACACACGACGGGTCTCTGTAGGCAAGCGAGCGTGTGGGGGTGTGGGTGAAACGCCCTGCCGTGTCAGACTGGGGAACGAAAGCAGCCCTGGCGGGAAGGGGTTGGCCTCTGTGCTGCAGCCGAGCCCTATCTCAGGGCCAGCCCAGCTGCCCACGTGCTCTACCCGCAGGTCCTTATGGGCGTCTTCAGGCTGGGCTTCCTGTCCACCTACCTCTCACCGCCACTGCTCGACGGCTTCGCCATGGGGGCCTCAGTGACTATCCTGACCTCGCAGCTCAAGCACCTGCTGGGCGTGCGGGTCCCGCGGCACCAGGGGCCCGGGATGGTGCTAAGCACGTGGCTGAGTCTCCTGCGGAGTGCCGGCCAGGCCAACGTGTGTGACGTGGTCACCAGCGCCGTGTGCCTCATCATCCTGCTGGCTGCCAGGGAGCTCTCGGACCGCTACCGGCACTGCCTGAAGGTGCCACTGCCCACGGAGCTGGTGGTCATCGTGGTGGCCACGCTCGCGTCCCACTTCGGGCGGTTCCACGAACGGTTTGGCTCCAGCGTGGCCGGCGACATCCCCACTGGCTTCCTGGCCCCGCAGGTGCCTGACCCCGGACTGATGTGGCGTGTGGCACTGGATGCTGTCCCCCTGGCTCTCGTGGGCGCCGCCTTCTCCATCTCGCTGGCGGAGATGTTTGCCCGCAGCCACGGCTACACCGTCCGTGCCAACCAGGAGCTGCTGGCCGTGGGCTGCTGCAACGTGGTGCCCGCCTTCTTCCACTGCTTCGCCACCAGCGCCGCCCTGGCCAAAAGCCTGGTGAAGACAGCCACGGGCTGCCGCACACAGCTGTCCAGTGTGGTCAGTGCCGCCGTGGTGCTGCTGGTGCTGCTGGCCCTGGCGCCCCTGTTCCGGGACCTGCAGAGGTGCGTGCTGGCCTGCGTCATCATTGTCAGCCTGCGAGGGGCCCTGCGCAAGGCGGGCGAGCTCCCGCGGCTCTGGCGGCTCAGCCCGGCCGACGCACTGGTCTGGGTGGCCGCTGCGGCCACCTGTGTGCTGGTCAGCACCGAGGCCGGGCTGCTGGCCGGCGTGCTGCTCTCGCTGTTCACCCTGGCGGGCCGCACTCAGCGCCCACACGCTGCCCTCCTGGCCCGCGTCAGTGGCTCTGCCTTCTATGAGGACACCACGGAGTTCGAGGGCCTCGTCCCCGAGCCGGGGGTGCAGATCTTCCGTTTTGCGGGGCCTCTCTACTACGCCAACAAGGACTTCTTCCTGCGGTCACTCTACAGCCTCACGGGGCTGGACGCAGGGCAAATGGCTGCCAGGAGGCGGGGGCTGGCGGCGGGGGCCGGCCAGGGGAAGAGCGGCATCAAGGACCTGGGCTCAGCGGGTTTGATGTCCTCACTGGTGCCTTCAGTGGCCGGCTTCCACACAGTGGTCATCGATTGTGCCAAACTGCTATTCCTGGATGTGGCTGGCCTGGCCGCACTGCAGGGCCTGCGCCAAGACTATGAGGCCCTGGGCATCACCATGCTCCTTGCCGGCTGCAGCCCCTTGGTGAGGAATGTGCTGAGGCAAGGTGGCTTCCTTGGGGAGGATGACGGGGACGCAACCGAGGGGGAGCAGTTATTCCTCAGCGTGCATACCGCTGTGCAGGCGGCCCAAGCCCGCCACAGGGAGCTGATGGCTGCCGACTCCACCCTCTAGCGGGTTCAGCACCTGCAGGCCATCCCAGCTCCCACCTGGGAGCCCACGCCCACGGCACACATCCTCAAAAGATGGCCGCATCCCAGGGAGGCAGCCGTGACTGGAGTCAGCCACTATACCCCTGTTAGGACCTGTCTGCCCTGGAGAAACCGAGGAATTCCAACTGGGAATGGGACAGATGGCTTATTTAACACACAAACAAGAACCGCAGGCAACCAAGAATCCCTGCCGCCCTGGGGCCTAACCCCAGGGCCCCCCACTTGGAAGAGCCACACCTGTCGCAGTCTTAATCATGGTTGAACAAGGGGCCCCACATCTCCTTTTACACCAGCTAAACCAAGTACCAGCGAGTCAATTCCTGATTCCTGGCAACCCCGTGTGTGGCGGAGAAGGGCTTTCAGCGGCTGATGTTTGGAAAGGAGACCACCGGACCTTTCTCCTGGGACACCTCTGGGTGGTCTCAGACCTCCAGCCTCTTCTCAGTTTGCGGCCGTGTATGTTAGTTAATCCACTTACATCAGCCCGGCTGCCTTGTTTTGCACATGGCCCCACAAATCACGCAGCCTCCAAGGTGCTATATGGAAACCCCACTGGCTCAGCCTGCCCAGCCCCTGCCTCACACCAGGTAAAGCCAGGGACTCTAGCCCAGGGCATCAGGGTCTCTGTGTCTCTGCGAGCCAACCCCCAACAACAACACACACATACACACACACCCCACACCCAAGTGCTCCTTACACCTGGTGCCTCAGCCCCGAGTGGATTTCCAGTGTTACTGCCTGCTCCACGGCAGGCATTCCAGGGTCAAGGCCAAAAACAGATGGGACCAACAGGCGCACACCTTAGACCGGCCCTGGGGCACAGTGTTCTGGCACAGCATGGCCCATGAATACACATAACACAGGATGTGTGGGGTGAGAACACGCCCAAGCTGGGGCCCAGCATAGAGCCGGGTACAGCGACCACCAACTGACGTGAGCCACTGGAGAGAAGCAGGTAGCCTAGTGACAAAGGGGCCAGGTGCTGCCCCCCAGGACCCCTTGCTGGCTGCCTCCCTACCCCAACAGTCCCTTTTGATGGGAAATGTAGGAGTCAGGAACAGCAGCACTTGTGCCCTGTCTTAAGTATCCCCTAACTGTGCACTGGCCCCTACACCCCAATCCATTATGAAGCCTGGCAGGCTCCCCTCCCACTTCCCTTCCAGGACAGACCGCCGGCCAGGCCAACCTCCTCTCTCAGTCTCAGTCTCCGTTTCTACCAAGTGGGGCTCTTGCCAGCTGCCCCCAGGGTGCTCCTCCCCACTGTCACCCACCTGGCCGTGACGAGGTCCAGCAGCCAGTGGGTCCGGACCTGCTCGATGCCCCCATGAGGGACGGCACCCACGTAGGCGAGGTTGAGCTGCTGGTCCCAGCTGAGGTCATACTGGTCAGCCCGGTCATGTGGCAGAGGGGGGCTGGGGACAGCAACAAGGGCAGTGGCTGTGTTAGTGCTGAGCCTTTGGGCCCAGAGGGTGGGGCTGGCAGGGCAGCGGCGTCACACATCTGGTGCCCACAGATCCAGCACTTGTGCCTTCCCAGGGACCCGGCTCTAGCAGACAGACCCAGTGAGTTTCACTAAGTGAACTTTCCTGTTCCTGGAGGTAATAAATTGACACTTCATGTCAGAAATGTTCTCAAGTGTTTATGTGAGGGAGGGGGTCACAGAGGACCACCTCCTAACTCTGCCCCTTGCCCTGCCAGCTCAAAGCCCACAACAGAGGTAGCTGGGGAACACACAGGGAACAAGGACAGGTCCCATTCCAGAGTTGTCCTACACCCCTGGGGCTGCATGGGGTCCCCAGTCCACTGCAAAGAGCAGTGTCCTGAGCCCACCTCCTGTGGACCAGCTGGGACAGAAAGGTCCTTGTCCTGAGTTGTCTTGGCAGCTACTTCAGACCCCTGGAAAAGCTTAGGGCCGGGCCAGGCCTCCGCCACATGCAGGAATCCACCAGGTGGGAAATTCTCCCATTCCCAAGACCCCAGGGGGTCTCCTGGACAGACAGGAGACTGCTTCTGAGGGTGGACCCCGCAGAAGTAGTGAGTGGGAAGTGGCTCGGTGGGCTTTCCAGGCTCCAGGGTGGCTGGCTCATTCCTGGACACAGACTTATGGGGTACCGACCGTGCACTGGGGGCGGGGGAGTCCCGGGAACGAGCCCCAAGGGTCTCCACAAAGGTAATAAAGGGGTCCCAGAAGGCCTGGGACGAGGTGGCCCCAGTTTCCGAAAAGCAAGGAGGGAAATGGGCAGCCGGCCTCAGTTTTCCCGCAGGCGCTCACCAGAAGCCTGTGCTCCTCCAGAAGGGCCGCAAGGGCCGCAGAGCGCGAGCCGCGTCCACCCGCACCAGGAGCGGGGCCTCCGTCAGGGCTGCGCGAGGCGCGGCAAGCAGCGCGGCCAGGAGCGTAAGCAGCGCGGCCGGGTAGCAAGTGGAGCGCATGGCCTGGGATGGGGGCGCGGGACAGTCTGGCCAGGCCGAGGCTCCGCGCCCCCGGGAGCTGCTGGGCCTACACCGCGCCCGTGATTCTGCCTCCGGGTCGCGCGCCCACGTGATCCCGCGGCCCGGCAGGGGCCTGGGCGGGACTAGGGTGGACCTGGGCGGGGCGGGCCAGGGCAGGACCCAGGTGGACCTGGGCGGACCCGGGGCTCTGGAGCCACAGCGCCGTTACATGGGCGGGCCTGGGATGGACCTAGGTGGACCGTGGCCCGTATCTGAGCAAGACCAGGAGGCACCAAGCAGTCCTAGGCGGGGTCTGGGCGGGATTCAGGCGGACCCGGGCGAGGGGGCGAGGACTGCGGGTGTGGGCGGGGACTGAAGGCGTGGGCGGGGACTGCGGGTGTGGGCGGGGACTGAAGGCGTGGGCGGGGACTGCGGGTGTGGGCGGGGACTGGCTGGGACCTAGGTTGGTTGGGGCTGCAGCAGGTCTTCAGCTGGATGGGGCAGGCCCAGGCGGGGTCTGGGCGGGATTTAAGCCAATCGGGGGAGGGGGCGGGGACTTTGGGTGTGGGCGGGGACTGGAGGCGTGGGCGGGGACTGCGGATGTGGGCAGGGACTGGAGGCGTGGGCGGGGACCGCGGGTATGGGTGGGGAGTGCGGGTGTGGGCGGGGACTGGATGGGACCTAGGTGGGTCAGAGTGGGGGTGGGACCTAGGCAGGACCTTAACAGGCTGGGCGAGGCTGGGCAGGCCTGGTGGGGTCTAGGTGGGCTGGGGACCCGCTCCTGGGGAGAAGGGGCTTATAGGGCCTGACTTGGCGGACCTGGGCAGATCCTCCACTGACTGAGCTGGGGCGTGGGCGCAAGCTGGATGGGACCTAGGTGGGTTGGGACCCGTCAGGGCTTTAGCGGGGGTGGTGGGAGGTTCTGGCAAACGACAGTACTGATAAGTGGGTGGGGGTCTCCTGACTTAGAGGAAGCCAGGGCTCCAGGGACCCGAGACCTGGAGAAAACACGCTTGGAATCCGGCCTCTTCCCTTGAGTTCCTCCCTTTTCTGAAGGGTACCAGCCCTATAGGTTTATTTTGAGGACTGAATAACTAAACACATGGAAAGCACTTAGAAAGATACTTGGCCCCTTAGTGGTACGGGAGTGTAAGCCATTCTTGTCTTCTTACTAGATCAGATACATCACTCTGGATGCCGAAATAGCCTCGAGGGGGGGGATCTTCTGGTAGCCAGGAGTGTCCCCCCACCCCCTTATTGTGGGAAGGCAGGAAGAGACGGTCCTACTGGGAATACATTTTGAAGGTGAAGCGATAGGACTTCCTGATGGATTGGATGGTGGGGGCGGGGAGGCTTCAAAGGCGACCAGGGAAGGTGCCGTTTTCCTTAGTGGGAACCAGGTATCTTTGAGATACCAAGTGGCCGTTCCTAACTGGATGCCCTGGCCCAGCTGTCAGGAGCAGGTGAGGTCAGAGGTGTCAATGTTTCATGCAGCTATGGATCTGGGTTGTACAAATGGTTAATGTGTTCTTGAAGATTGAATAGTGACCCCAGAGTGTATATTGGAATCCTAACCTCCATACCTGTGGCTGTAGTCCCTTTAGGGAGGAGGGTTTCCTTATGTTCATGAGGCTTATCTTAGGCTAGGTTCTCTGAGAAGCAAAACCAGTGAATCTTATAACCAAAGCAAACCAAACTCACTGCTGCCAGGTCGAATCCAACTCATAGCAACCCCTCCTTGGGTGTCTGAGGTGGTATCACTACAGAAGTAGATTGCCCAATCTTCCTTCTGAGGAGTGGCTGGCAGGTTTGAACCGCCAGCCTTCTGGTTAGCAGTCAAATGCCTTAGGCACTACTCAAGGAAGTGGCTCCTACTGTTGTAGAGGTTGACAAGTCCCAAGTCTGCAGGGCAAACATCAAGCATGAGTTTTCCAACTCTTGGAGCTGCAGGGGCTGACTTCAGGGGATGACTAGTCCAAGATCGACAGGGACGATGTCTGATTGTTGGCTCATGAACTGTGAAGGCAACAGTCCCGAGATCAGCAGGCAATATGGCAAGCCACTTGTTCAAATCCAGGAACCAGAGGTGATGAGCTAGATGCAGGATCAAGATCCAGAAGAAAAGCCAGAGAATTTCACCAGGATGTTCTGGAAGCAGGCCACACCCCTGAGGAAACTCCCTTTCAGCTGATTGGCTGTTCACAGCACCTCTCATCATGGAGGTGATTACATTATGTCAGATCTCGTCAAAGGAGATGGCTACATCATAACTGCTACACCACTGAGAACCACAGCCCAGCCAAGCTGACACACCACCTTCAGGATCACCAGGCCCCATCAGTGAAGGGTGTGTCCTACGCTTAAATAAACACTCTGAGAGATTAGATACAGAAGACACAGAGATATAGCTAGATCTTGATATCTTGACATCTCTATCTATACGTTAGCTGCTGTCAAGTCCACTCCGACTCATAGCGGCCCTGTGTACAACACAGTGAAACACGGCCCAGTCCCACACCAGCCTCACAATCCTTGCTATGCTCAAGCCCGTCCTTACAGCCACTGTGTCAACCCACCTCACTGAGAGTCTTCTGCTTTTTCGCTAACCCTCTACTTTACCAAGCATATCCTTCTCCAGGGACTGGTCCCTTCTGACAACATCACCAAAGTAGGTGAGATGAAGTCCGGTCATTCTCACAGGAGCATTCTGGCTGCACTTCTTCCACGACAGATTTGTTCATTCTTCTGGCAGTCCATGGGACTTTCAGTGTTCTTCACCAACACCATACTTTAAATTCATCAATTCTTCCGTCTTCCTTATTCATTGTCCAGTTCTCACATGCATAAGAGGTGATTAAAAATACCATGGCTTGGGTTAGGTGCATCTTAGTCTTCAAAGTGACATCTTTGCTTCTCAACACTTTAAAGAAGTCTTTTGCAATGAATTTGCTCAGTGCAATATGACAACTGATTTTTTAACTGCTGCTTCCATTAGTATTGATTCTAGATCCAAATAATATGAAATCTTTGACAGCTTCAATCTTTTCTTTATTTATCATGATGCTGCTTATTTGTCCCATTGTGAGGATTTTTGCTTTCTTTATACTGCAGTGTAATCCATACTGAAGACCGGTGTCTTTAATCTTCATCAATAAGTGCTTCAAGTCATCTTCACTTACGGCAAGCAAGGTTATGTCATCTGCATATCTCAGGTTGTTAATGAATCTTCCTCCAATTTGGATGCCACATTCTTCTTCATATAGCCCAGCTTCTTGGATTATTTGCTCAGCATACAGAGTGAATAAGTATGGAGAAAAGATACAACCCTGATGCACTCCCTTCCTGATTTTAAGGCTGCAATATCCCCTTGTTCTGTTTGAATGACAGCCTCCTGGTCTATTTACAGGTTCCTCATGAGTACAATTAAGTGTTCTGGAATTTCCATTCTTCTCAATGTTATCTATAATTTGTTATGATCCATGCAGTCAAAGAAATGCCTTTGCATAGTCCATAAAACACAGGTAAACATCTTTCTGCTATTCTTTGCTTTCAGCCATGATCCATCTGACATCAGCAGTGATATTCCTCATTCCACGTCCTCTTCTGAATTCAGCTTGCATTTCTGAAAGTTCCCTGTCTGTCAATATACTGCCATTGAGTCGATTCAATAGGACAGAGTAGAACTGCCCTGAGAGGATTTCCAAGGCTGTCAATCTTTACAGAAGCAGACTGCCTCCTCTTTTTCCTGTGGAACAGCTGATGGGTTCAAACCACTGACCTTTCGGTTAGCAGCCCAATGCTTTACCCATCATGCCACCAGAGCTCTTTATATTTAGAAAGTTAGAGATAGGTAGGTAAAATAGGTTATAGTTTCATATAGTTCAAAAGTCAAACGTTTGAAAAAAAAAAAAAAACTTAAAAAAATCAAAGTGCAGTGAAAAGCCTCTGCCCCTGTGCCATCCTCCACCGGCATCAGACCCCTTTACTGGAGGTAACCAATGTTATCAGTTCCTTTGTGTGTGTGTGTGTGTGTGTGATTTTAAATTGTGGATCATTAAAACAGAGTCAGTATAAGGGAAGGTTTATAAATGGAGAAAAGAAGGGGACCTGTGATACAGCCCTGTGCAAGTGTCAGGAAGAGGAGGAGCTCCCACAATGCACTTCCGGGATGAAATATATTTATTGAAAGGTTAATCAGCAAACTAGGCACCTCTGGAGGCAGAATTAGGGAATTAGAAGACACTTCAGAGGAAAACACCCGGAATGCAGAAAAGAGCCAAGACAGGTGTGAAGAGACGTGGGCGGTAACATAGAAGGGGCTCCAAAAAGACCCAACTCACTGTTGACTCCTCCAATCGAGTTTCTTAGTCTAATTAATTCAAGAGAGTGCATATTTGGAACTGGCTGCAAATCCCCAGAGGGGCTTTCCAATTGTGAAAGAAGTGGCTGAGTAGCTGTGCAGGGTCTTGGCAGACTCGCATGGGTCACGAGACAAACACTGGAGTTCAGAGCCTGGGGCTCCATGTTATGGATTGATTTGTGTTCCCCGAAAAGATCTGTTCACGTCCTAATCCTGGTGTCTGTGAACATGTCCTTGTTTGGAAATGTTGTGTGATGTTGAGTTGACTCAGACCTGCAGTGACCGTATAGGGCAGACTAGAACTGCCCCAGAGGGTTTTCTAGGTTAGAATATTTACACAGGAGCAGATTGCTAGGTCTTTTTGCCCATGGAGGGCCTGGTGGGTTCAAACCTCTAAGCTTTCAGAGGTTTGCAACCGAGGGCTGAACCATTGCACCATCAGAGCTCCTCTGTTTGGAAATAGTCTTTGATATATTATCAGTCAGGGTAAAATGAGGTCATACTGGAGGCGAGTGGGTCCTAATCCCATCAAAGGGGTTCACGTAAAAGAGAAGAGCAGACGTAGAGACTCACAGGAGGCAGGTGCCATGTGAAGACTCAGCTGTAAGCCAAGGATTGCCAGTAATTTCTGGGAGCCACCAGAAACTAGGAGAAGAACACGGAAGTTTCTTTTTCAGAGCCTCAGAAGAAATCAATATGGTCAATACGCTGACTTGGACTCCCAGCCTCTGGAACGGTGAGATGATTTCTCTTCTTTAAAGCCATGCCCTTTGCGGTGTTTTGTGACATCAGCCCTAGGAAACTAAGACACCTGATAAACACCTGACTTTCAACAAGACCCCAAGAAACAACACCTGAATGGCAAAGGTGAGCCAGAAACTCTCCTTCTGGGTCCTGAAGTCCAGACTTGAGCTACCTCAAGGCTGCAGTGAATTAAGCTTGTCCCACTAACCTAGCCACCTGCCAGAAGAAAATAGATTTTACTTGATGGTTGTTGTT